TGCTGGGTATTCATAAGCTACAAAGAAACATGCACTTGCACGAAGCTGTCTGCAACATCGAGGGTCAGGACTTGGACAAAATAGTTCCACCCAGGGCTAGCTTTAACGAAGGGATCCATCCTTTTAACTTCTGCTCTGATAGCTTTCTAACTTTATAAGACAGAAAGACCACTGGGACCGAGATGCTTGGAGAAAGGGAGAGGGACAGAAGTCAGCAGCTGTGGGGACAGAGCCGACTGTAGTGCATCTTATGTATTCTTGTATCTACAGGGGCATTTGAATGCTCTTATGAACACATTTACATTTGATGTGCTTCACGGCAATGCCAGGTGAAGGTACAAAGGTATCTGTTCTCCATTTTACTGCTGGCGATTCTGAGCTTCAGAGATGAAGCTTTCCCAGGGTCCAAGGCTGAAACCCACACAGTCTAGCTTATAGAGGAACAGAGGGGCAGGAAGAGTACTTTATTGAGCAAAGGGACAAGCAATACATGAGTGAGGGATTGTAGAGCTTAATCAGTAGCTATTGCGGAGGTCATCCACCTCTGAGGTCCTGGGATGAGTCCCTTACCTTTGAGATGCAGCCGCTGAAACCCTCACTATGTACCAATAAATATGTCGATAGAATTCTCAAGACTTAACTTTCTCTGTCCTCATGCATCATTGCTAGCAGGTTCTCTCAGACAGCTTCCATATTCTTGCCTGCTCCATTCTGATGATCCATGTCCTATATGCAAAGGTAGGCTCTGGTATAGTAATAATTTCTTTTCAAGAATGACTGATTACAATTTCTCAGGGATACACATATATAAATCAAAACACAAGGTCAATATATTATCCAATGATGAAAAAGAGATTTGGTAGATTGAAATACAAATCTCAAGTTAGGTATGTGTTTCCTTTTCTCCCTTTTTTGATATTCTGTAACTGGTTTCTGACTATGCCCTTCATATCTATGGAAAATGTTATATTTTTCTGTCCATTCATGGTGTTTAAGATATTACTAGATTATGTAATAGTTGCTTGATAAATATTTGTTGACTAAATAAAAGGATGAATAGATAATTTTTAATAGAGATGAACAATTATTTGGTGGAGGAAAATAGAAACTAAGGGGTGTGTTATAATATACTTAAAAAACTACAACAGTTAGAGGAACAGATCTTTAGTGGTGTTATCTCAAGTGTCAGAATGAAGAATTTGTTCTTTTGTACTTACTGTGTAAATTCACTTGTGCGATGCCTAGCATGTAGTTCCAAACTGTGTGCATGCTGTTCCAAGAATTGTTCTGCATAGATTGGTTTGTGTGCCCATATTTTAAAAAATTCAATTTAAAGTAACAGCTGAGTTAGTCAGAAACTGAAGCTTCTCCCAGGCGTGCGCCGGCCGGCACGGGGCGCAGGGCGCGGGGCACAGGGTGGGCGCTCCGGCCTTGGCGCCTGACCCCAGCCCTCACCCAGCCCCACGGCGTGGCCGCCAGCTTAGCATTGTGTTCCCTACAAGAGAGAATGGAGAGAAATAATGAGGACAGGAATCCAGTGACAAGTTCCTAAACAAGCCTTCACCTGTACCATGATCAGGCCCGTGGTTGATAATCAGTAATGATGGATGGATGGATGGATCGATGGATGAACAGATGGACTGATAAAAGAATTTACCAATAAACCAAGAGAATGAGATATTCTGGTACCTTGAACTGAAAAGGGGAACAAGAGAAACCGATAAAGAAGGCACTGTTCTTTTTCACTGAGACCATCTTGCAAAATAAATCCTTGCTTCTGAACACTTCTCTTCACACTGTTGCATTTGCTGAGATACTTGGTGCCACAAATGGCCATACAAAAAGCCTTTCAGATAGATTCTGATACTGGACCAACCAGACAGTCATAAGGACCCCATTACTGCTGATGAATGGGGTGATGGTATCTTCTGCTGGCGTGCAGAAACCTCACAAATACCTGGATGTTTCCTGCTATGAGTCAGGATGGTGGAGGAAGATGAAGCATTAGCTTATGTGTTAGTGATAACACAGAAAAATATGTGGTCAGCATTCATTTTAAGGAAAGGAGAACAAACTGACTTCGGAAAAGAAAATGGCATCCTTTAGTTAGCCAACTGTCAAGCCCAGGGTGCTGAGAGTTTCCGCAGAAGCACAGAGTGCTGCCTCCTGCCTCTGCCATAGGACAGCTGCGGAAACCTAGGCCCAGGGGCTGATTGTGCGTGCAGCCCAGCTACAAAGAGGAGCATATTCAGCCTCACAGGTCTCTGATATCAGAGTCAGGACCCAGATAAAGAAACACTAGACCTTTACACATGGGATAGATTATTTAGAAGGACAGACATGACAGCCTTGAATTCCAGATTCCTCTGAACAACCAAAAGCAGCAGTGTCTGCTCCCTCCCTGGAAGAGAACAGGCCCCCTTGCCTGCAGACCCTCCAAAGGCCCCACTGGATGGAGAAGCCTCGCCAGGTGTGTTTGTCCTAAAATCTGCTTCTACCTCCATATAACCAACCAACAGAGGAGGCAAATTAGAGATTGGCTCAATGTTTTTCTGCTGCCACACGACAGCCTGTCTATAACTATAAGGACAGTGGTCAAGGAAAACCCTTCTGGCTGGCTGTTTTACAATCAACCCACCTTATATCCAGAGATAAATGGCTTAGATATGGCTAAATGTGATCATTTGGGCAGTGGTGAGTAGTTAGGTGGTCTCGGCCCTGGAGAAGGCAAGTCTGAAAGAGCAGAAACAAGAAAGTCTAAGGAAGAGCCAGAGAAACGGATTTATGGGAATGAGTCGAAGTCAGAGAATCGTCATATTTCACCTTACGTTACTGTCTGCTAGACACGAACCCTCCCAAAGATGCATGCAACAACCAAAAAGATGGAATGGCTTGTGTGAGTATCAGCTGGCTTCTTAGCTACCCGGTGATGTTACAGTGGGGTCCTTAGAGAGACCCTGATGGCAGGAATGACGACTCTGTCAGGGCTTCCTGTCGCTTGGGCTGTCCTAGCTGCTGCTACTGCCAGAAGCCCAGAGCACCTGCTGCAGTGCTGAGCAGAACCAGTGCCGAGCCATTAGTGTGACTCTCCATTGCGGGTCATCCAGTCTCCTGATTAGCAAGTTGATTCCATTAGACCCTGTGCACCTGAGAGAGCAACAATTCATCTTTCAGAAATTGGCAGCTACTTCAGTTAAGATTTTGCTTTTTCTGTCTACAGTTCTTCCACACCAACCCTTGAAGCTGTGTTACTCATTAGCTATGATTTCAACTTCTTTTGAATGTTTACATTATGAGATTGATGTGAAAATTAAATGAGCTAATACATGAAGAAAAAAAAAAGAAAAAAGAAACTGAAGCTTCTCTTCAATGTTCAGCATAGGTGAAGGGGAAGTAGCTTGTACTCATTTGTATGTTTAAAGCAGGAAGCCAGAAGGATATTCTATGCATACCTTGCAAAGAATAAACTGAATATTAATTTTTTTTTTTTGAAGACGCGGGATGGTATCTGGAGGGAAAGGACAGGCACAGAACCAGGTGTCAGTGAAGGTTTAATGAGAGGGGACTGAGGGCCTAGTGCTCTGTAAGGTGTTTTGATTCAACAGACCTTACACACAGAAGCCCTTGGAAAGTGTTAATGTAAGAAGCGCCAGACCAAGCTACCTGGCTGATTGGTCAACTGCAAAAACTTTCATACTTTATTCGGGTGTTGGTTTTTCAATGATGAAATCTAAAATAAGGGACAGCAAGTCGACCTTCCAGAAATAACCCACGGTAGCCAACCCGAGTGGAAAAAGAGTTTTCTTCAGGCTTTGGGTTGCTCCTCTTCCTGTCAGCTTTCAGAACCGAAGTGCGTAGTCGGAGTGAAAAATAGCGGCAGCTTGGAAGCTGTCGTCGTCGTAAATTCCATCCCTACAAGACAGACGTCCGCCTGCAGCCCCGGGCGACGACTAGCTCGGAGCAGCGTCGCCCAGCGGGCAGAGGCAGAGGCGGCAGCGGCGTGCCCAGGACCGCCCTCCTTCCGCAGCTTCGGAGGCCGGGGGAGCTCGGACGGCGCTGGGAGGAGGGGCCGTGGCTGGGAGGGCGCCGCTATTGGCTGACGGAGCGGCGGAGGAGGGGCGTGGGCACGCTGATTGGCTGGAGCTGGATCCAGAGGGGGCGGGGCCACTATATCTGAGGAGTCCCTGCAGCGGCGCAGGCAGTTGGGTGCTGGAGTGCGGCGCCACCGTGGAGGGCTGGGAGTCGAGCGGGCGGGCGAGGGAACGGCAGGGACGGCAGCGGCGTCAGCGGGTCGCAGGGCGGACGTCTGCAGGGCTGCACCTTCCGAGGGCCAGTCCTTCGCGGAGCCCCGGGCTGGGTTCGACCCGTAGCGCGGCGGCAGCCCCCCGTACACCAAAGAGGAGGCGGCGACAGCGGCAACCCCAGCCATGCTGTGCTATGTGACGAGGCCAGACGCGGTGCTGATGGAGGTGGAGGTGGAGGCGAAAGCCAACGGCGAGGACTGCCTCAACCAGGTGCGGGCCGGGGGCCAGGCAGGCCGAGGGGCCTCGCGACGGTGCCCAGCCCCCGGGGCCAGGTGGCGATGCAGCGGCGGCCGGCGAGCGCGCCCCTGGCCCGGGCTCCCGCCCCCTCCTCCCCGCGGCGTGGGGTTCGAACGTGGGGTGCTGAGGACGAGCGCGGCTGGGACCCCCGGGGCTGGGACTGCGGGCATCTCTGGGAGCAGCCACCCTTCCCCCTTACTACACTTGGCCAGAAGAACGCGGCCAGCACACCTGCCACAGGTGTGTGCGTGGTGCCTCCCGGGGGGTCCCGAGAGGCCTGGCAGCGCCACCCACGTCCCAGGATAGGTGGCACGGGGCAGTCCTGGGCTCCAGGTTCCGTGGCAGACAAGCCGGGCCCAAGATTCATGCTGCTTCTCAGACGGACCGAATTCTTCACCTGCCTTTGGGATTTGCCGGGGACAAGGGGACTGTAGGTTTGGGTTATCAACTCCTTGGTTGTCTTGTGTTTTCTTAAGAGCGAAAAAGGGTTCCAAACAGGGCATGCATCCATAGTTGGTATGGCAGACAGCAGATGAGATCCCAGTGAAGTGCTGTGCATTCGGATCCTCTAGACCTGGGATGTTTGGGGAATCGCTCCTAAAGCTTGGCTGACACTTGTGGCGTGTTTCCCAATGTGTTTGTTGTTTGGAGTCCAGATGGTTAAAATTGTCCAGAAAACAAGCTGCCAGATCAGCTGTAGGGATTGGGCTGGTGGAGGGAATTCCAGTGATTGGACTAAAAAGGGAAATAACCCAATAGATTTCTCTTCGCCTCTCATGAAGGCTACTTTTGGGGACTCCTTTTTCTCTGTGGCACTTGGTCTTGCCCTAGATACTCAAGAAAGGACAAGTCTCCATATTAGAGCAAGGTGTTAGCATCACTGGAGCCTAGAACTTTGTCCTCCCAGCTTACAACAGGTATTGTAAGACCCTTCTATTGTATGAAGAACGAGGGTTACCTTAGACTCAAATGGAGCCCTTGGGTTTGCCCGGACTACGGCTGCATGTACCATTATCCATCCTGCATTCATTTTTGTTTTAGGTGTGCAGGCGATTGGGGATCATAGAAGTTGATTATTTTGGACTGCAGTTTACGGGTAGTAAAGGAGAAAGTTTATGGCTAAATTTGAGAAACCGGATCTCCCAGCAGATGGATGGCCTAGCGCCATACAGGCTTAAACTGAGAGTCAAGTTCTTCGTGGAGCCGCATCTCATCTTACAGGAGCAGACCAGGTAAAGTGAGGCTGAAATAAACCAATGTCAAATCCACCTTCGATTCCATTTAGAAAGGGGCCTTTGTGACCTCTGGAGATGTTCCCAGGCACATTTGCTCCATGTAAAGCAAGTTGCCCTTAAGTTTGTTTTCAATCTGTACCGGGGCCCTTTTGTTGAGGTGAAGGGAGAGCTGCATTGCTGGCCTGGGTGCTGTTTCCAAACTCATTTGGTTTTTCTTGGCTTTATAAACTTAATGGCAGAACAAGGTTGAATTTTTACAAATAAACAAAAACAAAAAGGAAAAAAAAACCCATGACTGACTTCCTGATAGCAACATCTAATGCCCGATAGTAACCTCGCCTCAGCAGTGTTACTATAGGTCACTGTAGACGGTCTAACTGAAAGCAGGAAACAGTTCCTCTTGGGTTACTTAAACTTGGTCAACTTCTTCAGCCTAGTGTCAGATTACAGTGTGTAGCGGAAAACTCTGGCTTCGTGCACAATTTTCAAAGTTTTTAAGTTTCATGAAAACTTAATAAAAGAATTCTTTGAAGGCCACTGTGACTGAATTTCACCCCACAAATATACTACTCGTGATTGTCGAGTGCATAATGTTTAATTCCTCTTTGTCTTGTAAAAGAGAAAGGAAAGAAAAACTCTACCAGTAGTGGTAGACAACTGAAGTATGTGGTCTCCGTTTCCACACAAAAAAATCCATTTTCCTCTGGACTGACTGTAATAATACTTTTCTCAAGGATGAGCTAGCCTAGGAAAGTGATGTTTAATATTTATTGCTGAAATACAAGAGACTTAAATATCACAGCGACATGTTAAAAAAAAGGAAAGGATTGCTTTTAAAAACACAGCAAACTTTGGATCTAAGCATTGATGTTTTTCATAATCCTTTGGCTTGGAAATTTACCAAGCATATGAAAAATGTGATTAAGAAAATTTAGAATAATGATCAGTGAGCAACACACTTTAAGAGTTTTTAACATGTCATTTTTTTGTGTGTTTACCAAGGAACTGATAGAAACACTGAAATACTATCCATTTGAATTTAAAATCTTCATTTTGCCTTGCTTTGGAGCTTTAAAGTTTGAGAGAAAGGTTTAGTTTCTGAAGGAAGCTGACATACTGAATTATAAGTGCTCCTGAAAATGTCTTGCAAAATATTCAAGTAATTGCATGTTTAAGGGTGTGTTAACTGTCTTTATTATTCAGAATAGGCTTTTTATAAAACTTAAAGTTGATGTGTGAAAGCATCTACTTTGTACTTCATTGTCATAACTTGAAGTTGAATAAAAGAAAAAACACAGCAGATTGGATTTTTATTTGTAAATCATATTATGATTTCACAATTACTTCAAGGCCTAAATGCAACCCCATGTTGATGAGACAAATTTGTTTTTTAAATCTGCAGAAACTACAGATTTAAATAGTGACTATTTCATTTAAATAGTGAATATGATAATATGATCTGTGTGTATTGTAAATGCATTCATACTTTATAATTGCCCACTAGATGGTCTGTACCTGTGCTTTCCTGTAATTGGATCAATAATTACTATCAAATTCATTTTATTCATGCATGAAAGAGAGACATTTTATGAATTAGAACTTGAATCAGATTCCTATCTTGATTTTTCCTTTATTGACTCAATTGACTTTGACTCTTGAGATTTATGGCTAGTAACACACAAAGAATGTACCTATCTAGTTCAACTAGGTAATTTTAATTGATTGTAATTTCTTTTTGAAAGCACATTGTTGTGTCTAAACCTTTAGCTTTTTAAAATAATATATTGAATTTTACTTGTTTTCTTGTGGGACTGCCTGAAATACAAAACTACGAAAATATAGCACTCTGCTTTACTAACTTGATAAAGTAATTTGTAATTAGCATTTGTACCTTTTAATTAGGACATCAGAAGTTGTACTAGGTCTAGTTTTCAATTAGCATTGTTTTTATATGCATGATACCATACAACAAAAACAGTTATTTTTTCTTAATGTTATGTTAGCAGAATAAAGCTTGTTGATGTTCCATGATTTGTTATAAAATCTTTACATAAAATGCTGTGAATATAAAATAGATCTGTTTATGTAGTGAGTAAATATGACTTTGACAGCCCAGTTATGAGAGGTGAGTTTTTACTAAGTCAAGTCATGAGAGTGCAATTATACTTGAAAGCATCTGGGTAGTTTATTAAATGGTACTGAAATATCAGGACAGCATAGTCCTCTGTAGGTAATTAGGTGGGCTGCTCACAGTAGAGCTGGCCTAACCAGGGGCAGTTGACATACTGGTTCACATCAGTGGTGGACCCAAAGGCCTACCTGTCACTGGAGCCCCAGAAACCAGGCAGGCAGTCGCCCTGTTCCAGGTCCAGCTTAGCCACCAATGGCCAGCATCCAGCTTCCAAGCCTGAGCCTGACTCTGCATCTCAGTTGACAGCCCAGGAAGAGATTGTCTCCAAACACCTCCTAGTGATAGCTATTTTTTCTTTGCTTCACTTCATCTCTGTATTAGTTTCCTTAATGTTTTCCTAAATATATTTCTCTGAAGACAGGCAACATATCAGGCGTTGACTTTGATAGGTAGACAGGGCTCACCTGCTCTCTGATTTGGTCTGATCTTAGATTTAGTTCTCCTACCCAGACTGTTCAGTTTGCTCTCATATGGGGGCCCGGAAGGTAAAAAGAGAGCCTTTTTCAGACAGGCTGGCAGGGTTCAAAGAAGGGGACAGCAGGTATTTCCACCACACATTTGCCTTGCTGTAGATTGAAACAAAAAGTGAGACAAATTAATGTATTCTGGAAGTAGATCGGAAATAATAATCTTTTCAGAAATTCTTGCCCTTCAAAGGCTTTCAGTTGCAGCCATTTAGACTGAATTTTGTAAACATTTTCAAAACCAGAGATTAGAAAATTATATGGTTCATCTTCATGGTGGTAGTGATGCCAACCACTGGCAGTAAAATCTTTGTATTTCTGACTTTGCCACCTTTTGACAGAGCTCTGTTGTCTTTGCTGGGGACAGTCTCGCTTAGTCAAGGATCGCCAGTACCTGAATTCCCTTTCCTAGCAAACAACCGCTATATAAAGACTCATGAGTCCTGAACTAAATGTTCAGAGAAATACTGTAATCCTGGATGTTAAATTTCATCAAGATTTCCATGATAGGAGCAGTGACAGGTTTGCCTCGCTCCTTCTGAAGTCCTGCCCACTTCCCTGCCTGCCTTTCTGAGCTCAGATCAGACCTCATGCCTCCAGAAAACCTCTAGCTCTGCCAGGGAGACTAAACTCTCCCAAGACATTGTGTGCCTTTCCTTTATAGCATTAAGGAGCTTATAACACTGTGATTATTTATGTGACAGTTGTTTATTGTCACTCACTCTAATAATCGCATTTCCATTAAAATTGATCAACATTGTATCCCTAGAGTCTAGCAGGTACCTACTTGCATAAATACTTGTTGCATCAACCAATTAAGAAGTTAGGAATAAAAATGGTGTTAACTGATACTAAGACAAATTTTCTTATAGATATTGGCAGGTTTTTTTTTCAGTCTGCTTCTATAAACCGAAAAGTTGAGAGTATCTAAAAGACTAAAAGAAATCTCACCATTAAAAAATGTTGTGGTGATTATTTTCTGCCTAGAACTTTTTCCGTACTTGGCGTTCTTGTGTTCTGTTTGTTTGTTTGTTTTTGAGACAGGGTCTCTCTATGTAGTTCAGGCTGGCCTTGAACTCACAGCCTCCTCCTGCCTCAGCCTCTCAAGTGCTGGGATCACAGGTGTGCGCAGTCACCACCCGACTTGCCCTTGGCACTGTTTTCCTTCCTTCATTTTGTCCCCTGCACCCCATTCCAGACCACTGTGGCTGTTAGCTCTTATGTAAAATGAACTGCCACTCCCTTGGACCTTCTATGGTATTCAGACAGTTCTGTTGTCCATTGGTTGATTGATTTGCCCAGGCTGGGTTTGTGTGATCCTCCCGCCTCAGCTGGCTCAGTTCGGTTTTAAGCTATACCTGCGTATCACTTTCTCTAATTTCAGCCACTTCTGAGTCCTACGTCCCTATTCACTCAGTTGTCTGCCAACAAAAATCACATAGATGTCTGGAAATCTAGTAAAGATGCCCTTGTACAAAGGGCCCGTGCAGACCCTAGGCAGGCATGACGTGGTCATTTTAAACCAATCGAAGGCGGAATCAAATCTTGTAAAAGCCATCCAAAGTCTTTCTTAACTGTCAGTGTTGGCAAAGGTTGATTTCACAATTTGCCATTTTGTGATTTGGGGTGGGTAAGCTCTATACAGTGCTGTTGTAGTAGTAAGGTTCTATTTACATTGATGTCATTCATATTCTTCATGCCAGCTATGTACCTGAGAGTAGAGTGACACTTTTTGTATGTTTGTTTGTTTTTGCACGTCAAAATATAAAATAGGCCCTGGGAAGTAAAAAGGAAACCTGGACGTGTGTACTATACTATTTTTAAAGAAAATTTTAGCTGAATTTGTGAATTCTAGAGTACCCATTTTTTCTTTCTGCTGAGACTCTAGTATGTTTGTGTGTTATTATGTAACATTTCTTTTAGCCAAGGATCTGCCATCTGGGCACCTTTGGGCACTTTGAATTTCTGATATTGATGTATTTTCATGAAGTAGTCGGGGAACATTTCTTAAATGGCATTTTAAATAAAATCCATTTATTTAGAAGACACTAGGTTCACACTTAGGCAGAGTGACCCTTTCAAAGCAGCTGCAGAGCCGCTAGGTATATTCTCTCTGATGTCCCTGCAGCCTGGTGTCACCAACAGGACCTAGCAAGTAACTCAGGATTTGAAGGCAGTTCAAGAGATGTTTACCATAGGCCTGAAAAGTGCTGAATAGACTGCTTTGTGGAATAAACGCCTAGGAGCACCCCTGACTAATCTCTGGATTGTTGCAAAACAGATAACACTTGTAGATTGCAAGAATGCCTGGAGAGGTGTCTGCCTAGACAGGCAGCTCCTGA